TACATCAGAAATGATGTTGCTAGAATTTTTTCAAGGCCATTAAAATAAAAATTAAGCCACTGAAAATTGTTCAAAAAATGTGTCCGCTTGGACGTTAATGGGTTAAAGTAGTCAAATCCGAGATATTTACGGAAAAAGTGCGAAAAATCGATTTATTCTTGAAAAGACCAAAAATAAAATTTCCTAACAAAAATTCTATCTTGGAAAGTATTACTCGTACGATCTTCAACAAATAACCAAATTGTTCGTAATTTTGCCAGCTTTCTTTTTGCTAAACACATATAAATTTATTTTCATACATTCAATCTTTCAGATATATTGTGGAAAATCGCACTTGTGGTCCATTTTTTGAAAGTGACGCGGGCGGCCAGGCATTTTAATATGTTTACATGTTATTCCAAACAACTTTTAGCAAAAAAACTTGTATTTCCAATTTTGTAACTCCGAAACTTATTTTTCCTGAACTAGGCGCACGTATCGTTTCATCTGCGATTGACGTTAATTGAAATTCCCAATGTTACATTATTCCTTTAACGTTATTATTAAGTTTTTTATTTAAATTAATTTTTGTTACTCTTTAAAGTGAAAATACTAACAATTTGTAATATAAACAATTATTTTTATTGTACAATTCATTTATAGGAGACTATAGTATATCATGCTTCAATATTATAACTAAATCGAAAAACATATAAACAAGTAATATGATTTTCAATACTTTACAATTGTAGCGATTGCATTGCCGCTAGTCTTGCTGCAATAAACGAGAAATTCCGCGTAGAAAGAAATTGCGAAAAATAAGGATATATTACACTGAAGTGTCCGCGTACCTGATCAATTATTCGGCGCGAGAAAAAAAATATTTATAAACATTGAAACAAACACAGAAGACAATTTGACACAAAAAACGAAAAACCGTCATGACCCGCGATGGTTTCTAAATCTCGTTTATTTTATTGCTTTATATTACATATATCTTTTCTCGTGAATCAGTGATACATTGAATGTAATATCGAACGCGTCGGACAAATGTATGGAAAAATCACTGTAGGTTGTACAAGAAAAGATGTATATTCATGAATAATAAATTGAGACTATGATTGCAAAGACATTGCCATTTGTCTATTTTACTATCACAATTCGTTAATATTTCTAAATGTAATCAATGAGTCTAAAAGGAAAATTGCAATTTTCATTTGTTATTTCTAATTTTTCATATTTTAAAATGTATCAATGTTACTTATTGTAAATCGTTATGGATTCATAATTGTTTGTATATTTAATTAAAAGAACAAAAATAATGTTAAAAAAATGAACATTGCGAGGATTTAAACTGTAGTCCACCGCAAATCAAAATATGTAATACGTGCGCTCTAGATTGCGCAGCCACATCGATTTACTAGTTACTGTCGTAAAGTTCAAGTTTTTTCTTTATACGTAGTTAGACAGATATTCAATTCTCTTACTTTCCTTTCTTATTCTTTCTCTCTCTCTCTCTCCCTCTGTCTCTTTCTTTCTCTTTTGATCTATGGCAATAAGATTTCGGATCACATTGCCAAATTAACAATGTGATTAGCGTGTATTATCGAGTGTTATCTGAATGTATTTCCCTACTTTATCCTATAAATAAATCTGTAATATTGTAACGATAAATTTTTATATTAAATTAAATTTGTAAAAATAAACTTTTGCAGATCAATATATAATTGCTTTTTTTCTCGAGATTAATTATAATTTTTACATCACGACAAATAAAATTCCTTTTTATAATAAAACATGACTATTAGCCTAGCTTGTTTACTTTTTGTTTAACTTTTTTGAATAAAATATCAAAATGCCAAAAATATTATTAATTATATATACATATATATACACTGCTCAAAAAAATTATGGCATAGAAAAATTTTGAGCAAAAATTGGTTAACTTTGGTTAACGGTAACTCCGCGAAAAATCATCGTAAAATGATAATTTTTTTTCAAATGAAAGCTTGAAATCTCTACTTTAAAA